GACAGCTCATAAAGCACTGAAGGACAACACCAAAATTTTCCAGATTAACTAAAGGAACTCGAAACCATGAATCGAGACAACACCTCATACGAATCGGCACGTTAACTCAACGTCAACTACCGAGAGAATCCCAAGACAACGAAACGTTAAAACATGGTAGAAGAAGGGAGTGGCAAGGCAGTACGAACAGTAACCAAAACCCGCCCACACTTACTCGTCAGTATGGTAGTATGACAGTATAAGGCACTAGTTTGTAACATGCCCCAGAAGGGAACTTTTCGATACAAATGACATCAATGTCAGAAACGATCATTACCAAAAGCACTACGGAAACTAGGCATCTGTGAGAGTTGGGGTAGCTAATCCCAAAACTCTGACAACAATATCATAGGCACCGCTACGCTTAAGGTCTTAGATCTAGAAGCCACGAAGGAAAAGGAAATGAAATGGTGCCTCCCTAGTCCACGTCTCACTCTTGTAGACAAGGAAAAGGAAATGAATCGCAGTCCTCTACGCTCATATGAGCCTTACTCGCATCAATCGTCAGACTAAGGTCTCGAAACACCCAACCAAGAAAACAGACAAAAAGGTTCCCGACATAGGTCCTTACAGAATGAATTTCTCCTATCCAAGGAAGAAACTCATGAAATAAGAACGCTTCCAAGGGAAACGACAGATCCTAAACGGCAATGCCAAAACCAGACAGTCAAGATAAGCTTCTAAATAAGTTGCCACAAAAGCAAACAGACATGTTATCAGATCAAGGCATGTTATCAAGAAGCATGTAGGGCATGGTACGATAACACACGTGAATGAAAGACGTAAGGTATGCCAACATACGTCGCATACAGTCATGCTAACACAAGCACACAGACATGATAGAAACCTAGATCATGTTATCAAGAAGCATATATATACACATAAAGTATGCTTAACAATTAATAGATGTCTCAAAACACCTAAGCATGTTACACATTCTTTGAATTTGATTAATGACAACAATTGGTAATTGAAAAACACTGCTCCAGTACAAGCAAATAGGAGTTAAAACAGTCTTGACCAATTAAACTTTACCTGCTACTGATAATAGTTTAGTACTCCAATCAATGAGCTTTTTAGAAATTTTATCTAGAAGAACATTACAGTGGGATCTCTTAAGTTTAGAGGAACATAAAGGAATTCGCAGACAGCTCTTTTCCTTCTAATAGAGTTGGAGAAGATGACACTACTCTTACTATAATTAACTTGCAGTCTAAAGGCAGCTCCAAAAACCTGAAATATCTCTTGAATAGATCTAGAATTTGAAATTAAGGCTTTGCAAGTAATCAACAGATCATCTGCAAAAAAGGTGTGATAGGTTGTAGAGTAAGCCTTTAGAGCAATATAGGATAATTGAATCTTCCCATTGCACACAACTGTATTGAGTTGATGGGAGAATTGATCAGCTACCAAAGTAAAAAGAAGGGGAGAGAGTGGACAACCATATCTCAATCCTTTGGAAGGCTGTATGAAACCTGTAGGAGAACCATTTAGTAAAATTAAGTACCTTATGGAGTGTAACAAAGTTGAAATTCAAGATAACCAATTTGAACTGAAACCAGCAGCAATCAAAATTTTCAGAAGGAAACTCCAGGAAACAGAATCAAAAGCTTTTGAAATATCTGGCTTCAAAGCCATAATGGGATATTTAGATCTAAAATCACTCACCATCTCATGACCCTAATTATAGCATCCTGAATTTTCTGCCTTTTATAAAAGCACTTTGCTCTATGCTTACTAGATTAGGTAGAACCAAAGATAATCAACCAGGAAGAATTTTAGAAATTATTTTATAAATCAGATTGCATAAAGTAATTGGTCTAAACTCTTTAGGCTTGACTGCATTACCTATTTTAGGAATCAATATGATAAAAGAACTATTCACCCCTATAGGTAAAGAGCCTGAAAGAAAAAAATGTTGAACTGCAGCATATACTTCAGGTTGAACAAGAGCCCAAAAAGTTTAGTAAAATCGAGCTGGAAAACCATCAGGTCCAGGGGCCTTATTGGGTTTAAAATTCATTACCATTGCTCTGATTTCTTCATTAGTTATAGGAGAGTCCAATACTAACTTATCTTTAGAGGTGAGGATGTGCCTAGGATTAAATTCAAGATTATTTTCTCCTGCATTCTCTTTGTAAACATCTTGATAATAATCCGCAAAAACCCTTTTGACACTTTCAACATCAGTAGTAACCTGCCCAGCCTCATTTTCAACAGAAATGATAGCATTAAACTGATGGTGTTCTTTCATTTTATGGTAAAATAGGCTGAACATCTATCCTTATCTTGTAACCATTGAATTCTAGATTTCTGGGCATAAAAAATCTCTTGAGAAGACATAGCAGCTTCATAAACATCCTTAGCTTGTTTCTCTAAATCAAAATTATCAGATGTAGGGTTAACCAAAAGATCTAATTGAACCTCTTCCAATGCCTTTTAGAGATAATAACTTTCTCTTCAACATCTCCAAAAAAGTGTTTATTCCAAGCCCTCATAGTAGACTTCACATTTCGAAGTTTCTTTAGTAGAATGTGAATTGGAGATCCATTTATAGATACATCCTAAGCTTCTTTTATCACCTCAGCAATACCCTCTTGAAGACACCAAACTTTTAACATCTTAAATGGCTTAGGACTACTAGCAAATTGTCTGAATATATTGATAATCACTCCATAATGATCAAAAAAAGTTGAAGCAGAATAAGTTATTTTTATACCTGTAAACAGCTACAGCCAAAAGTCATTAATGAATACCCTATCAAGTTTGGCTAAAATTCTTCCATCATTCTCTTGTTTATTACACCATGTCCAATCCCCATTAGAAGCAACTATCTCAACCAAACTAGCTTTTTGAAGACAACAATTGAATACATCTAGAAATGTTTGAGGAACCCTACGACCCCCTTGTTTATCTGAATGAAATCTTATGGCATTGCAATCCCCTACAACCAACCAAGGACCATTGATACTATCTGCCTGATGAGCACTGAAAAATGCGTATTTAAACCCCTTAAGCTTGAGTATTCTAGAACCTTTATCTATCTTATTTTCTCGTCTTAGACTAATTTCATGTTATTGCCCTTTTCAGGCGCTTATCCCAAAAATAAGTTAATTCAGCCAAATTAGAGCATAAAAGAAGCTATCTCAAGCTGAATGGAAGAAAGGAGCAAAGTGGATACAAAGTGGTAAAAGCAGCAAGTTTTGATCGATCTGACCAATCTTCGATCGAGGTCACAGTGATCAATCCAGACTCATCAAGATGGATCAGACACCTTGTCCTTATCCTCAAGAATTTTCATCTTCGATCGATCTCACTATTCTTTCGACCTATCAAACTTTCTTGATCTTATCCTCACCTACCATTTTTGTTTTTTTTCCTAAAATATCCCAAAATATCTCAGAGATTTGTCGTATTTCAAAAAGGCGCCACCAATGATTGATCGATCTGACCATACTTCGATAGATTTGGCCACTGTTCTATCGATCTCATCTGAATTCAATCGATTGAACCTCCTCAAGTCTGAAATAAAATAGAGTCTAGCTCATTAAAAGATGGCTCGTGGTGTAATCATTGAAAAGGCCCTAGTGCACGAGACCTGACCATTGGGTGTGACACTTAAGCTACCTATATAAAAATTTTGAGCCATTTTACATATAGACAATCATAGGGAATAAGAGACAATTTGAGAAATCTTGGAGAGGAGGCTAGAGATTAGAGAGCTATACACCATTTGGGAGTTCTTCCATTCATCTAGGGTTTCCATCAAGAAGGAGATCATTCCTACCATGGAGATAGCCCTTGAGGGTTAGATGACTACTTCAATGAGTGGCTAAACATCTACTTGGGGCTAGAGTTAGCCCCTAAGTTTGCTTCCTAGACCTAGTCTTTTGTATATTTTTGGGGATTTAATTGTACCAATGTTTTGATCTTGGATTTATATATATATCTTGTGATTTCTACTTGATGTGTATGGGTTAATGCTTCTAATTGATTATCTATTTCTAATCATATGTCTATGTATGCTAGAATGGATTATTCATATGCTTTTCTCTAGATTTAATGGAATTTATGCATGTCTAAGTGTATTGATGAAGTTAATCTAGTGATGATCAAAACATTGTGCTTAATTGAACACTCTTGTAATTTGTTTGATGGTTCACACTTGTTTCTTGATGGATTGTGCCACACCTTTAGCTTAATTAGTTTAATTTTCGTGTCTTTAGTCTAGATGTAGTGTAGTTGCTTTAAATTCCTAGATAGGTGGACAATCTATTCTTGTTCCTTGGTGTTCCATACTTATGAATGCAAAGGGTGTATGTCTTTAGATAGTTGTGTGTGCATAAATTGTGGTTTCATTGAATGGATTTTGGTTTCATTTGATAGGTTGTGCTTTCCATTTAAACTGGCTAGACAATATATACTTATTTGCCATCCATGGTTAGTTTCAATTAATGTCACACACACACAAAAGTTACAATTCAATTTCCCCATTGATGTACAACTAATGTCTAGTGAAGTCAAGCTAAGTGGTGAGCTCTAAAACCCCAAGTCCTCTCCTCTATATCTTTTACCTACTTTCTAAATTATTTCCTTTTACTTGCTTTAATTTTAATTGCATTGTAGTTTAATTCACCAATCAAACCACTTTTTGATCACTCGATCTACTAATCCAACCTTGTTTCCATTTTAAATACGAAACTAATCCCTTGGGACGATCCCTGCTCACCTTAGCTATATTTTTAATTAGAGTTAGTAATGGCATTTTATAAATTCAAACTTGGCCACACTTTATAGCAATTTGGTTGCTTCGGCATGGCACCACGCCATGTTTTGGCACTGTTGCCGAGGATGTGGCAGCGCAGTATTTTTTGAAACAATTAGGAATTAGTACTCTTTTGATCGTATTTTTACTTTATTTTATTTTTAGTTACTTATTGTGTTTGTTCTTGATTGGCTAGGTGAATTGAGCGAAGGAAGTCAAGCAAAGGAGAATTGAAAAGCAAGGAGCTAAGCTAAGCATAAAAGGCTCAAATCTAAAAATTTACAAGGCATAGCAAAGCTTGAAAATTGAAAGCTAAATTGAAGTTGCTTAAGGACCTTTTATGAGCTCTTTCTAACTCAATCTCTAGTAAAATCGTTGGCCCGCGTGGAGGCATATTTTTACTTTCTTAGATAAATCATGAGCCCGTATGGAAGCAATTTACTTTTCTTTGCATATTGTTGAAAGCATGGGAATATGGGATCAATGTATGTGGAGGAGTGTTGATTATTGATTTGTTGCAGAGGCGAAGTGATTGTTACTTGCTTGTTTCTTGATTTTGTTTTGTTTGTGCATGCATGGTCGTAGGTCATTAAATCCTACTCTTGTCCCTCCTAATTTGAATCTTGAATCCATTGTTCGTAATCCAAGAGGAAGGGGTAGCTCTCATCACTCCATTTTTACAATGGAGGAGCAAAATAATAACCATGTGGAGGACCATGGTCACATAGACCAATAAGGTATCATCTACCCTAATGTGCATCATGATAATATTCAAGTACCATTAGGTATACCAAGACCTTTCATTCCACAACAAGGCCAAGTTCTATTGGGAATGCCTCAGCCAATTTTTGCACCACAACTTCCCATTATGCAAGTCAACCAAGGTGTTCGTGTAGCACCACCGCTTGTGAATCCTCCCATTGTTTTGCGTGATCATTATGTGACTAATGAATATAATACACCTACATGCATTCAATTGCCCCTATTTAGAGCACATCACTATGAGATTAAACCACAGACTATTCAAATGCTTCCCAAATATCATAGACTTCTAAGTGAAAAACTTTACAAGTATTTGGATGAATTTCTTGAAATATGTTCCACCGTAAAATACACAGACATGCCGGAAGAAGTGTTAAGACTCAAAATTTTTTCCTTTTACCCTTAAGGACAAGGCAAAATATTGGTTCAACAATCTTAAGCCTTTTTTGATAACTTCTTGGGCAGAAATGCAACTAGAGTTCTTGAAGAAGTATTATCTGGTATTCAAAGACCAATGCTATGAGAACTTCCATTTGTGAATTTTCTCAAAGGGAAGGGGAATTATTTCATGAGGCATGGGAAAGATTTAATGACTTGCTTAGGAAGTGTCTGCATCATGACATTTCTAAGTGGCAATTAATCCAATACTACTTTGAAAGTTTGCCGGATAATAAAAAAGGAATGGTAGATGCATCCATGGGTGGTTCTTATCTTGATAAACATGAAAATGATGTTTGGCAATTGTATGAAAGCATGAGTGAGAATTCAATACATAGATCCTTGTCCTCTAAAAATTATAGAAATCTAGGTGGAATGAAGAATGTTAGCTTATATCAAGTTGACATTTTTAATGACATAGCTACCAAGGTGAAATCTTTATCTCAAAGGTTTGATCAATTTTTGATCAACCAAAATTCGGCAAATCAAGTGTCTTCCTCCCTTAATCATGTTCATCATGCATCTAATGAATCTTGCATGACTTGTTCTAGTGTCATACATTCTACTTCCAATTGTCCCCATGGACATGTGCAAAGTGAGAACAATGAACAAGCAAATGCCGTTTTTGTAAACCAAGGGAATAATCCCTATGGCTCACACTATAATCCCGGGTGGAAGAACCATCCAAACTTCTCTTGGAAAAGCCAAGGGGAAGGCTCAAACCCTCCCCAAGGTGGTTTTCAAAACAAGTATGTTCCACCTCCAATGCAAAGCCAAGGTTCCCAAGGTTATAGATCTTCTTTTCAATCATCATATGGAAATCAATTTACTAACTCTCATTTTCCTAATCAATCGTCGTATTCTCAAGGAAACTCAAGGAGTCCCGCTTTTGAGGAAAAGTGTTGACTGCTTTGGGTACTTTGGAGGAAAACACTCAATTACTTCATTCTCATTCCCAATCCATTGCTAAGCTAAAAACCCAAGTTGGGCAAATAACTAGTACTTTGAATGCTAAAGAGAAAGGAAAAATGCCTCTAAATGCCCCACCAAAGCAACAATTTGTTGTGGAATCCAATTCCTCATCAGAAGGTCACACAATTAGGCATATCAATGCGGTGACAACTTTGAGAAGTGGGAAAATTGTTAATAACCAAGTTAGAGTTCATAATGAAGAGAGTGAGCTGGTGCAACCAAAAGTTGACACCCGTCCCATTTCACATTTTATTCCTCCTTCATTGTATATGCATGATCATGTTATTGAGAAAGTTATGAAAAATGATTTGAACAATCATTTGAAAAAGGATTTGAAAAATTCTTGTGTTGAAAGTGATTCAAAGAAAAATTTTGAAAAGGTTTTTGAGCCTAAAGCTCCATTTCTGGATGCCTTGAAAGGATCCATTTCTCTTGAAAAACAAAAGACTAAAGTGAATGAAATCATTGAAGTGTTTAGATAAGTGAAGATCAATCTTCTACTTTTGAATGCAATCAAACAAATTCCGGCTTATGCCAAGTTCTTGAAAGATCCTTGCACCCAAAAGAGGAAGAACAAAAGCCAAGCATCAAAGAAAGTGGTCTTAACCAAGCAAGTAAGCTCTATCTTGCAACATAACACTCTCTCAAAGTTTAAGGACCCCGATTCACCTACAACTTCTTACATTATTGGCGACCATGTCATCAATCGGGCTCTTTTAGATTTAGGAGCAAGTCACACCTTCTTCCATATTCAGTGTATGTCAAATTGGGCTTAGGAGACTTAAAACTGACATTGGTAGTTTTGCAACTTGTCGACCGATCCATTAAAAAGCCCCAGGGTATTATTGAGGATGTTTTGATCAAGATTGATAAGTTCTTCTTCCCCGTTCATTTCATTGTCATTGACACGGAACCAGTCCTAAACCGCAAGAGCCAAATTCCCGTTATCTTTGGCCGTTTTTTCTTGGCAACCACAAATGCCAACATCAATTGTAGGACGGGGATAATGAAAATATCATTTGGGCATATGAAAGTGAAGTTGAACATCTTTAATCCAACTCCGAGTTCAATAGATAAGCATGAAGAAGTGTGTGTTGTGGAAAAGTGTATTGAGAATGAACTTAAGAAAGTTGAGTCTTTACTTGATGTTGAACATTCCTATGGTTTGCTTACCAAAAAGAGCTCAAAGAAAAATGTGTGCAAACCAAGTGTTCTAAGGGCATGGAAGACCAAAAATTACATAGACCAAGGACAATCAATCTCTTTTGATTCAAATCTAACAAGTTCTTTAGGGAATAATTTGTTGGGTGGGATTCAAAGTACCTTTCACCCCGTTAAGGAGGGGATGCACAGCAAGATTTTTTATCCGGGCTAAAAGAGCCCAACGTCTTTCTAGAGACGTTAAAGACTAGTGATTCGTAGGGTTTACAACCCTATTCCTCCCCCATTTCTATTTTACCTTTCATTTCTTGCGTCGTCTAGATATGTTCTGGGTTCATACACATTGTTAAGGACTTTGATTGAGAATGCTTACACTTTCAGCTTTGAAATAGACATTTGGTGTTTGTTCGATCGATCTGAGAATAAGTCAGATCGATCGAACAATCATCTCTGCATCCAATCATCTCTCTGTCCCATCGAGTATAAATTTCCTGCATATTTCAGTCCTCTGTGTATCATACAAACTTCATTTTAGATCGATCTGAGTGTTCCAAGATCGATCGAGATTTTCCTCAGATCGATCTTCATTCCATACTTAGAAATTTTTTTGAATGCATGAAAAATCACCTCTCTATGCATCGTTTGAACTTGTCTTCAGGTTTTCACCTATTGGATCGATCGATCTATGTTCGATCGATCTTAATGCTTCCTAATTGACTTTGACTTCTTTTTAAAATTCAAAAATATTTTTTTTATTTTTATTTTTATTTTCGTTTTTACCTTTATTTTATTTTATTTTCTAAAAATCAAAAAAAATATTTTGTTTTATATATAAAAGAAATTAAAAAATTTTCAAAAATACTTTGTCGTTTTGTGAGCCAGATCGATCTAAGTTTCTTCATGATCGATCTGGGTTCGATCGATCTGATTTTCTAGTGATTGATCGAACATGTCAGAGATCATTTTTAAAAATATGACCCAATGGTCATTTGGATCGAATTCATCATCAATCTCAGACCCTCTTCTCTCTCCCACCATTGTTCATCATATCTCCCACCTCCGTCGACTCTCCGACGACTTCTTCAACGCTTCCAATCTCTCCCTCGCTTCTAGATCTACTCTCTCTCTCTCTCTCGGTTTTCACTTCTCTCCTCTCGATTTGGTAAGTTGAGTTTTATTTGTCATTTTGTGCTTCAATCTTATGTTTCCCATGATTACCATATTTAGATCTAAGCCTTCAATGTTCCATTGTTGCTATTTTCAACTTTTAAAGCATGTGTATATATATGTATATATTTTTGTATATATTTCGTTCCGATTTTGATTTAGGGGGTCACGTGCCTAGTTAAGTGACCACTATTGAATTGTTGAGGTGTCCACAAGCTTGCTCGGGTGCCCTCTGTGTTGTCCATGTCACAGATCTGTGACTTTTCGTATTTTTGCAGAGTTCGATCAATCACATTTTTCTCAGATCGATTAGAGAAAGCTCGATCTCACCATGTCCAGATCGATCCAAAGGATCGATCTCATCTTTTTCCTGATCGATCGAATTTCATCACTTTGCATTTTCATATCTCTGCACCCTCTATAGTGTTCATGTAGTTTATTTATGCCCAATGCCTGTGTTTCTCACATTAGATGCATTTCATACTTATATTGTTTAGCATGTTTCACTTATATGAACATTCACTATTTATATTTGGCTGCATTATCACTTGCATAGATTTATCTGATTCATTATAAGTTATCTATCTTAACTTGACAAACATGTTTCTATTTGTGTACTTCAATTCTTTATTTCATAAACTATACCTATTACTGACTCCAATTACAAATGTTTCTTTCTTTTGCAGGCCATGGCTCGAGTCAAGACTGTTTCCCGCCGACAGTATCAGCACTGAGTACGACAATGAGTAGAGGAGCCTGAGCAGCTTGAGGAGCATAAAGAGCCAGCTTTAGTTCAGTCTGAGCGCTCTGCCTCTTTCGCTTCTGCATCTTCATCTTCTCGTCAGTAGATGTAGTTGAGCACGTACCATCTCCTTCACCACCTTTAGCACATGAGTCTGTTTTTGACACTGCCTTTTTCTCTCGGTCGATTCTGACCAAGGCAGCTTTTGATGAGATTGACCAGCGAGGCATTTCAGTTATTCTAGCCTTGGTAGCCTACCTTATTTA